TCTTCTCAAGAGGTTATCCTCTAAACTAGCTTTTTATTCTTCAGTGGAACTTGGGGGTAACCTAATGAATGTTTATGTACAGAGGAATGGCAGTTCTGGATCCAAACTATGATGGTGGTGTTCGTCTTCTGATCGAGGATTATCCATACGCTGTTGATGGGCTTGAGATATGGTCAGCCATTGAAACATGGGTTACAGAATATTACAAGACCGACAAAGCTATCCAAGCCGATGTCGAGCTTCAAGCGTGGTGGTTTGAACTCCGAAACGTAGGCCATGGAGATAAGAAATACGAGCCTTGGTGGTCGAGAATGCAATCTCGGTCCGAACTGATCCAATCTTGTTCGATCATCATCTGGATTGCATCTGCTCTCCATGCTGCAGTTAACTTCGGTCAATATCCTTATGCTAGTTTTCACCCTAACCGACCAACTGTTAGTCGTAAGTTTATGCCTGAACCGGGTACGGAAGAGTATGAAGAATTGAAGAATGACCCTGATGTCGCATATTTGAAGACGATCACTCCGCAACTGCAGACACTACTCAGAATCTCTATCATCGAGGTTTTGTCTATGCATTCAACGGACGAGCTTTAATTGGGACAGAGGGAATCTCCGAATTGGACGACTGATGATGAGATTTTGGCTATGTCTAGAAGATTCACCAAGAGGCTTGAGCAGATAGAGAACAACATCATCAAAAGGAACAACGACAAGAGTTTGATGAACCGGTTTGGTCCGGTTAAGATGCCGTACACTTTGTTGTATCCAAACACTTCGGACTACACAAGGGAAGGTGGCATGACCGGAAAGGGCATACCGAATAGCATTTCGGTTTAGAGATCCACTACAATATAATAAAGCCGAATCGAAGTCTTGTAACTCAGGAAGGCTTTCGTTTTGTGGTTCGAGATATATAATAAAGTGCGTTGTGTTTTCAAGCTTATATATTTCTAAACTTCTGAGGTCAGAATCTGATCGTGTTTGTGGTTGTGGACCTTTGGTTTTGCCCTCAGTCGAGTTTTGCAAATTGGAATACAGTGTCCCTTGTCGGATGCAACAACAGCAACAAGAACATAAGAAACAGTCCATGTGTTGATTGATCTTCAGTGACATAGGGTTTTTTTTCTCATAATCGTTTTGAAATTGTTAGAATAAAATTGAAATGGAATAAAAAAATGATAAGAAATTAGTGATATAATTTTAAATTAATGAAAAATAAACTAAAATACACCAAATGTCCATTCCTCGGTTACACATTGTTTAACGTAAAAATTTAACATTTTTTTATAATTTTATTGTAGTGACAACATTTGGTTTGGTATTATATTATATATACTAATCTAAAACTAAATCTTATAAAAACAATACCATATTATTTTTGAATAGCAGCTAACTTGGATTTTCAATTGAAGAGATGAGGGTTATATTTAGGGCACTATTGATTTGATACAATGTTTGATCGTGTAGGGTCCTAGTGAACAAATCCTGTCGAGCCTGCCTTTTGTCTCTCTTGCCTGCTGTTGGACTGACCAACGCATAATTTCTAAAAATATAAAATTATATTTATTAATACAAATCATTTTTCATTTCCATTTATGAGAATAACCTTATATATAATTACTGTTTCTATAGATTGGTTTAGTGGAAAATGATCTTGATTCCGCGAGGTATATGTATATATATAAGTGATATTTCATATGGGTCTACTACATCAGTAAATTATAGAAAGGAATATAATATGTTCACTAAGGTATCTATGCAATGTAATAATGATCTTCTTGATATATTATTTAAAAATGTAAAGGTCCAACCTACCAATCCAAAAGAGTAATTATATTCAATTGATGTTAACAAAAGTACAGCTCCTCATAATTCATAAATTATTCATGCATTACCAAACTTAAAATCATGAAAACACATCTGCGGTCACATATATTATAATAGTTAGTGTATATATATATATGTGTGTATTATGTGAAGAGGGTTGGTGGAAAGTGATGGTTTTCATTTAATTAATTAAAACACAGCAGTTATTATTATATTATTAAACACATAAATAATGTAGTTTTTTTTATTTTGCTTAGTAATCCTAATTCCTTATTGTTTTTTTAAGGTACATATACTTTAATATTTTTTTTTATTTTGCCAAAAGAGTATATAATAGGTTTGAAGTGAAAACCATGTTTGGAAAAATAACGATAGATTATGGGTTCGACTGGTTGTACTGCAGTAGTTGCGGTTGCGAGTGGAGGTGTTTTCAGAGCGTTTGATAACGTTTATAAATGATAAGAATTGATTGGTTGATAAGTTGTTGTTAGCAGCGACTACAGGTGAGTGCGGTTAGAAGTGAATGGTTCGTTGCGGTTGTGTTTTGATATAAATTATAAATTATTATTATAATAATTTTAATTAAAATTTTTAGTATCATTTGATAAAAAATATTTGCTAAATTTATGATAATTAAATAATAAATTTAAAATATAAATATTATCAATTTAATTTATTTTAAAGTAAAAAAATAATTTTATTATAAAATTATTAAAAATAATCATTATTAAATCTAAAAAATATACTATTATATATTTTTTATTAAAATATAATACTAAAAAATAATATCAAACCATAACACTAAACAAACTCATCATAAATATATATATATTAGAGTTTTATATATTTTTTAATGAAGATATTTTAGCTTTTTTGTCAAAACGTCAGAAACCGCTAATAAAATGCAAGATAGAAGCTACGATTAGAAAACATAAGTTTGATTGCGGTCGCGGGTAGTTGCGGTTCAACCAGTCAGTTTTTCAATCGCCTGCAATCGCCGAAAATCGCAGTCCCTCCGTTTGCGGATAGCGGCGGTGCAACCAGTCGCCCTACGAAGACAATGATATTACAATTTCAAAACGAGGGAATCAAGCTAAAGAAAATTAACCATCAAATTGCATGTTTAGTTATTATTTTGATTTTGCTTCTTTATTCCCCCCCTCATGTTTATAAGCACCTTTTTAATTTATCTTAATTGTTATAGCAATTGAACGGACGAATTTCGTGTCATTTGTTTAATGCATTTATCTGATAATTTTTTTTAAAAAAATTACTATATTTATATCAACTAGATATATTTTAAATTCGTCATAGAAATTTTCAACTGCAGTATTTCAAAAATATATATATATATCTTCTAAAATAAAATAGTTATAGTTTCTGAAAATAATAAATTTATAGCTTTCACAAATGAGTTAAGTCCGTTTTTTCGTATAAAGGAATAATATAAGATTGTGTGTAAATGTAATTGTTTATAATCTTTTTAGTATTATTATAAGTTTTTTTAAAATAGTATTTTAGGATTATTAATAAAACATGTATTTTTCCAAACTAGTGTGTGTTTTTTTACATGAGTAATACAATTTAATGTTTTTTTTTTGCGTATGGAATTTTCTACGGTATATATATATATATATATACACACACACGCGCGTAGAGAATCGCCTATAACTTGGAAATAAATAGATAAATAAGCAATGTAATATTATAAAATATAAATATTATAAAGGAAAACAGAGAAGAGTACTATTGGATCGACAAAGACATTACACGACATCGTTGTCATGCCTCTGCATGCCTCTCATCTTTGCTTTTTTCTTTACCCTTTTTTATACATTGGGATTTTTCCACCATGTCCCCATCAATATGCATAGATACATAACTATTTAAATTCGTTAATATATAATCAATGAAATTTACTATTGATATATACATCTCTGTATTGTTCCCTACAGTGCCGTCTCAAAGGGTGAGGTTGCACGACCCCACCTTAGAGAGACTCCAATTTAAGATTTTTAAAAAACTTTACGTTTAGTAAAATTTTTTATTATTTAAACAAATTCAATTAGAATTATAGAGTAATATTTTTTTCATTTGATTAGAATTTAAAATTTTCTATTATTTTAATATTTTAAATTTTTATATAATTTAAGATTAATACTAAAAAATTTCACAACAATCGTTTTAAATGGATTTAAAAAATCATTTTCTCTTTCTATATTCAACATTCCACATCTAAATATTAACCTTATTCTCACTCACTGTATAAGATATCGAGTATTTATTTCTAATTTTCATTCATTATCTTCATATAAAAATTACATTATTATGTATTTCTATTTTCATTAGTTAATATTATTAATAATTACATTTTTTTGTAGTGGTACGTTTAAGTTTTAGTACAATATATCATAATAGAGTTAGAATTTGATATTATAAATTACATTCATAAATTTATATATTTTTTAGTTTTGTTTTACTTTTCTTCTTTTATACATTTAAAATTTGATGTTTAAATTATCTATTAAAATATCATTTATTATGTATTTTTTTCCTAAACAAGTCGATGCGAGATTTCTTTACCTCGTTTAAAAACGAGTCTTACGAGTTGAACTCAAATTCATATCGTTTAAATCCAAATCGAGTCGAGTTGACTCATTTGATAACCGGAAACTTTCCAAGCCATTAAGAATTTCAATTTCGCCTCTGTCCTTAAATGAATCATTTTACTTCATTAGATTTAGACTCTGGTTTCGGTCCGAATCACAATCCCAAATCCCCTCCGTTAAGGAATCTCCTCTTCCGTATATATCTCGAAATAGTTAAATAATATATTTAATTTCGCACTCATGTGAACAATAGTGTGATTAAACGGATATAATTGGCTAAGCATGTACTAAATTCGTTTATGCCATTTTTAATCTAATTGAACGTGATTATTTAATTGGTGTAGTTATTACTTTATTAAATTATACTATTATTTATTTATTTATTTGCGATACATGTTCCTTCTATGTATTGTTCACGCATGTCGGGACGTACGTCCAATCTATCCACCCGTCTCTTCGCTGTCCCATGACCCGACCCGACCCGACCCGACCCGACCCGATCCGGACCCATTTTCCCAGAAATCTGCATATCGATCGCTCTCTTAAATCTCCCCCACATTTTCCTTCATTTTCCCGGGGAAATAGAAAAAGGGAGAGAGAGAGAGAGAAGGCAGAAAAAAAACGAGCCAATGTACTCAGCGATTCGCTCGCTTCCGCTCGATGGAAGTGTTGGTGGGCATGGCGAGTACCATGGAGCTCTCGATGGAACTAACCTTCCCGGCGACGCGTGCTTGGTCTTGACGACGGACCCGAAGCCCCGCCTCCGTTGGACAGCGGAGCTCCATGAGCGGTTCGTCGACGCCGTCACCCAGCTCGGTGGACCCGACAGTGAGTAGTGTGTATATATATGCGTGCTGTATGCGTGCGTGTGTGTGTTTGGAATTTCTGGATCTTGGGGGAGAAATGCAGGTTCAGTGTGGGATGATTATTTGGTGGGTCTCTTGCGGTTTGACTGCTGGGTTCATGGTTTCTTCGCTGTAGCTCTTCTCTAGGGGTTGCAGTGATTTCTTCCTTGATTTGCGGTTGTTCATGTATTGGATTGGATGGGTCGAGTCAATCTTCGTTTCCTGCGATGAATTTGTCCTACAAATTCGGCCATTTGAATGTTTAGTAATAGCTGCTTGATTCGATGAAGCTTAGGCTCACATGTGTGGAAGTCGTCTCTAGGATCAATCGAACTTGGTCGCCGGAGATTTGCTATTCTTAGATTTGGATCAATTTCTTTGGAGATTTCAAGTCCCACATTTTGTTTCCTACTACAGAGTGACTTCTTTTCCGGAATCATTGCATAGTTAACAAAACAAAAAACTCAAGATGTCAGAATCCTGTCAGAAAAGTTGGGTTTTTTTGTGGATTTAGTTTGGTAAATAGCAAAAACTTTGTGGGGCACTGATAAGCCTTTTAGAGCGTTCGTGAGGAAGGCAACTAAATCCAGGAGGGCAGAAGGGGGAATTGCTGACTAGAAGGGAGAAGGACAGATCGACAAGCAAGAATAAAGGAAGTTTCGGCTGCTGTGACAGTTGGAGGCACACAGAGGGAGGGACGTGTTGGTGGCAGGAGTTTACATACATAGGGAATGCTTGTATAGGTTGTTAAGGCCTTGCTCAATTGTCCATGAGAAGGCTGAATATATATCTATCGTCTTTTGGCTTTTGAGAGAAGTTGTGAGGTGGGTAAGAGTTTTTGATCTCTGTAATGGGAAAAACTCTGTTATCGTTCTTATTTTACTAAGTAATACAAGCATCCCATTATCTAAACTCTTATCAGACACAGTGATAAGAACCCTAGCCATACGTTTTGAAGTTCAAGAAGGTGAAGAGAAGTGGAAACAGTTTCGACACAAATTTCCACAAAATTAGAAAGGTTGGGAAAAAGTGTTTGGTTTCTTGATGTTTAATTCATGTTCAGTCGAACCCAACTGCAAATCAAACCACACGAGATCATTATAGGAAGTAGAACATCATTTTAGCAATTTCAAACTCATATTCTTATGATTGCTTTTCAAGTTCATCTAATCAAACAGAAACAATACTTTGTCTTAAGCTATTAACTCATTTTTGCAGGTTTCCTGTGTAAAGCTTCGAAGTTTATCAAGCTTCTTACAGATAGAGCTTAACCTACAAAATCATAACTAATTAATCCGAAACAGTGAGGAAAATGAGGAATCCGAAAACAGAGTCACCGGCACATAACGATTTCACACAAACAAAGAGAGGGGAAAACTACCTCCGAATGACAAGAACAGGGACTACAAACGCTGGAGAGAGATAGAAACGAGAGAGAGACAGCCACGACGAGTATTTACGACGACACAGAGAGCAGCGGCGATTCCAGACGCCGCGAGAGAGAAAACCACGGCGACAGATACAGATGCACGTCGTCAGAGAGAGTAACGGCGACCGACACAGCGACGACGAGCCAGAGAGTCACAGCGACAAAGAGAGAGGCACGGCGGGAGAGAGTGACGGAGAGAGAGAGAGAGAGAGAGAGTGTGACATATGGGCAAGAGAGAATATGGTGAGTGAGTGTGGAAGAATCGAACGAAAACCCTAATCCCAAATCAATTTGGGGATTTTTTTTTTAAATAAACTTGGGGATTTTTTTTCAAAAAAATCTGATGTGTCTACACGTGGCAAATTTTATCCACGTGGTCGTACACGTCACTCGTTCTGTTAACGGAAATAAGCAAAACTTAACACCGTTTCGACTGATGTAGGAAATTGCAGTTAAATCCGGTAGTTCCTGTATCGATTTGGCATTTCTCATAATTTGGCGTAGGTTTTTGTCAAATTAAAAGTTCGTATAGGAAAAAGTTACATTTTGCAACGTTCGCGTAGAAAAATGTCATTTTCCCTATAATTAACCTAAACATAGTGATGTCCATCTGAGTCGAGATTATTTCTGACTTGTAGCAAGAAGCAATTTGCAAAAAAATTGGCCTTGAATGGTTGGAGTTTTTGAGAGTTTTTAGAATCCAAAAACCAAAAAAAATATTATTGTTTTCACAAAATTAATTTTTCTAAAAATTGGGAAAGCCCATTTTAGTGAAAAAAATTAAAGAAAAATTAAAAGTTATTTTTTTTTAGTTTTTAAATATTATAGAATCCAAAAGCCAAAAACCAAAACTAAAAACCAAAATCTAAAAATAAAAACTAAAAACCCAAAATAAAATTCATCCCCATTCAAAACCTAAATGTGTCTAATCTTTCCCCTCTAATAGACAATTTGTAAATCATGGGGCTAATGTGAAAGATTACTAAATATACGGGGGAGAAAACAGAAGAAAGAATTGTCCACTCTCAACTCGGATAAAGATTCTGTAATCACTTTTGATATTCCCGAGAATCAAACAGCAAGGTCGACAAAAGGGTCTTGTCCCTTGGATTGGATTGGCCTAGAAACCGAATCTGAAACCCTAGTTCCATGTATCAGAGCATTCTGTGTTCGATTCGAGGTTTCTAGATTCAACAACCACTATAAAAAATGGTCATTTCCAACGAATACAAATTTCTGTTGGAAATTAACGTTTTCAACGGATAAATTCGTTGAAATTTTGTCGTTGGAAATCGGTGTCCGTTGGACAACCGTTGGAATTTTCAACGGAATTTCAATGAATTTTTTCGTTGGAATTTTCCAACGGATTTCCAACCGCAATCCGTTGGAATTTTTCAACGAAAAATTCAAAACATATATTCTCGATCCCGACCCCGACCCCAGCCCCAGGCCCGGCCCCGAACCAGACCCCAACCCTGAACCTGACCCCGAACCCGACCCCGACCTCGACCGTGAACCCAATCCCGAAGCTCACTTCCCAGTAAGTCACTCATCCTTCCACTACTCCAGCTCAATCCTCTTTAACCCTAAAGTTCTAATTGACCATCATCCAACTGCTCCAAGTTAAACTTCTGATATCATATAACATTAATATATATACATATATAAATGTTTATACATATAAATATTTATATGCACATACACACATACATATATACATACATATATATATTTGTTATGTGTATGTATATGGTTAATATAGATATATCGATATATATATATATATTTATACGTATATATATATATTTACGTATATACATATTCAAATTGATATATATAAATATACATATATATACACATTATATTTGTACATATAAAAATATATATACACAAAATATATCTGCATTTGTATATATATATACGTATAAATATATAAAATACATATATATAAATATATATATATATATATATAAATATTTATATATATACATACACATGTATAT